CAACTGATTGGCTACTCACAGCAGATCCCATCATGAAGGTGATCACATTATATCAGATCTCATTGTGGAGGTGATTCCATCATTATACAACTGCCAAAATACGTCATAACTGCCAAAATACATCATAACTACTGAGATTCATGGCCCAGCCAAGTTGACACACAACCTTAATGATCACAGGGGAGAAAGTGGAAAGATGGAAAATTTTAGTTTCTATTTAAAGATGACAACATCTGAACATTTGTCTGGAGCTTCCCCCTGACCCTACCCTCTCTTCCGCTATTTCCCTACCCCTCCTTGATGTGAGAAAGTGAAGACCATGGAGGTGATTTCTGTATCCATAGAGCTGGAGAAGGACTTAAGCAATTTCCCCTGACAGTACTTTGTCCTGAGGAAGATTCTTAAACAGCTTATTGGTGAGTTGCTCCTAAAAGAAAACTAGCAGAGGGGAATCATCAGAGAAAAGAAAATCCTTAGGTCGTATCTCATCTGGACTTCAGTTACTCCTCTGTCAACTTCCATGCTCACACTCACCTCATCCCTTTACCTGGCTTTCAATGTTGTTCTCAGTTGAGTCTATAGAAAGCTAGTGAAAGGAAGCCTTAAGTGTCATCTATTCTTATGTTTGTATTTTTCTAAATAGGTACCCAGAGAAGTTAAATAATTTGCCCAAGTTACCAGGTAGAGTGACTATATAATGTAACATCTAAGCCGGAACACTCTTAAGAGTGAAAGGTAGTGCCATTAATATTTATGCAGGGAAAATAGTATAAACCAGACTGTTTCAGGAAAGCAGACACAAGGTCACTCTACCCCTAGACCTTAATGCTGCCTTGCTCTGTATCCTTCTTAACACATTCCATTCTTTCTGGCCCGTGACTGTGCCTAGCTCTTCTCCATACAGTGAAGTAGTTGATGTCAGAGGAGGATGGCGAGAGGACTAGGCTGGAACCTAGACCACCTGCCTTTACAGAGTCAAGAGATCATTATCTTTTCATATTAAGGTCAAGGTGAAAAGTGAAGCTGTTTTTCCCTCCCCTCTCTTAGGTGACATCCTAGATTGAGAAAGTTAACCAAACCATGGTGTTCTGAGGACCTTTAAGAGAACAGGCTCTGTAAAGGCAAGATAGAAGAACAAGGCAGGTGCTATTAGCTATTCCTGTTCTCATTTAGCTCCCCACTCTGGCTTCTTCCGCCAGCAGACGTGACCCTAGACCCGGAGACTGCTCATCCTAGCCTAGTCCTGTCAGAAGATCGTAAGAGTGTAAGCTCATGAGGAGAAGACTCCGGGATCTCCCTGACACACCATGGCATTTCACCTTCTACCCTTGCCTCCTGGCTACTGAGGGTTTCACCTCAGGTCAACACTACTGGGCAGTGCGGGTAGGCAACAAGATCCACTGGGCGTGAGTGTGTACCTGGACTCCTTGAGCAGAAAGGACAAGCTGACTCCACTCCTTGAGACTGGCTACTGGAGGGTGCAGACGTGGAATGGGGGCAAATATGCAGCCACTACCACGCCTTTTACCCCTTTGCACATCAAGGTAAAACCCAAGAGGATGGGCATATTCCTAGACGATGAGGCTGGCACAGTGTCTTTTTACAAGGTCATAGACTGCTGTCGTATCTACATCTTCACTGACACTTTTACTGAGAAACTTTGGCCCCTCTTCTACCCAGGCATCTGGGCTGGTGGGAAGAATGCTGCACCACCATTAGACCCCCAACAGATTGGAAGTGACAGATAGGGACATGGAAATAATTGGGGTAAGGCAGAGTCAAGAGCTGTGGGCCTTCCTTCCTGTATCCTTCAGGAACATCTTCCTGTCTACCTGGTTCCAGTCCTGAATCATCTAGGAGAAACACCTTGGTTTCTAGGATGGTTTGCATGGAGGCATAGGACTGGGCTGGGATGAGAGCACAACTGCATTCCTCTCTTGACTGTCAAGGTGAGGAGCGGGTTCCCAAAGGATTGCCTCCCCTGAAATCCATCAAGTTTTCTATTGCAGAAGGATGGTTTGGGAAGGAAGGAGAGGCTTTTCCAGAAGCAAAGAGTCCATAGGGGGAAATCTGTCTTCCTCAAGCTGGAGAGGGAAACAGAAACCCCTATACATCCTTTTAGGGGCTTCTTGGCCCAGAATAGTCATGTTTCTTGAGGAAGATGACAGAGGTCTGTGTACCTCTAGGTTTAATAAATATGAATGACAGTTGTTCTCATGGTTCTAGAAGTGGAGGAGTATTTCTGGGGCAGAGATTTGGCATTAAGAAGGTTAGAAGGAAGATTAGAGAAGTGAGTTTCTTTGGTCTTCTATTCCCAGACTAAGGTTACCATTGTGAGTAGAATTGGCCAGAAGAAGGGATCAGGATGGAAAGAAAAGAGAACCTACTTCCCTGCCCAGTCTTTTGGTAGAGCTGACTTATTGCCTGCCTCTTTATAGTTGTTTGCCTCCTTTCCAGAGGCAAGGTGGAAGAGATTCTACAGACACGTGTACCCTTTCACTGGTTTCCCGAAAGAACTGGGAAGGGAGAGGGTCAGGCATTAGAGGAAAGAGAAAATGTTTCTATCCAAAGCCCTGGCCTTAAAAAAGGCTATTAAGTAGTTACTCTCAAGGTGTCAGCCTTGTTACCTGACTGAGGTATCCAAGCCAGAAAGGAAGAAAGATAATAGAGTCTTTCTCACCCTGAGGCTGGGTAAAAAAGGATGGTATCTGTAGGGGAGGCCAGATAGGCAGCTCCCTTCCACCTATGTGCACCAGACCTGGAACTGGTGTTTAGAAGAGCCAGCCTTTTGCTTGTTTGTTGCTGTCCTTCACCCTCTGCCATTTTCATTTTCAGAGAATGCAAATTATTTTAATATTAGGCCAAAATAAACACACTGCAGGGTACATATGTTGTCAAAAAAAGGTAAAGTGATGCATGCCAAACCAAACTAAAACAACTTGGATTATCTCCGCTTGGATAATCAAGAGCTGACAGAAGATTGGGACAAGAGACTGAAATTTACTGAGGGCATTTCAGCTCCTCCTCCCACCTTAGTAGGACTCTGTCCAGACTCTTCTCCTCTTACCTTTGTGCCTTGACCGTGGTTCTTTGTGGCAAGATACTTTGGTTTTCTTGAAATAATATGGAGCAAAGAACCCACTAAAGTGATCTGTGTTGTGTAGTAATTTGGCAATGGCATGGTGTTGATGTCTGTAACAATCACTGGGGTGTTACAAATGCATGTTCCTGGTCACACCCTCAGTGAATGATCAAGGTTTGGAAAGGCGAGGCCTGGGCATCTTCGTTTTAAACACATCCCTCCCAGCTGAGTCTGGGGACCCCTGTGAAACTCATCCTGGAGGAGGTTTCATCCATTTCCTTTCTCTGAGTTGGAGAACTGGTTCCCTGCACCAGGCTGGCAGGAGTCTTAGGGGAGAGAGGCTGTAACCTCATTTGACATATGTTGCCTCTCCCTGTCTCAGGGTTCATTTCCATTCTGCCCCTTTATCCTTCTGCTCCCGACCTCAAGAACTTGGAGTCACTAACTATGAAGAGGAGGTAAACAGGATGCCAAACAGAACAAACAAGAGAGAGAAAGAGGTCAGAAGTAGGTGTGTAAAGTGTGTGTGGGGGGAGTGGGGTGTCATTTCGGTGGCAGGGGATGCTATTGATAGGTTTCTGTGATCCAGTGCCTAAGACTAGGATTAGAAACCATTGACTTACCAAGTGAGGATCTCCTACTCTGTGTCCAGAACTGCCTAACAGGAAGTACGTTTGTTAAGTAGAAAGGATGGGGACTAAGCTGTGCTTTCCTGTGCCAGGAGCCCTCTTCTCCCCATCACTCTCATGGTCTTTCCCACTTTCACTCCCACTGGCACACGTGCCTTTTTGAATGTATAAGCACTGTTTCTTCTGTCTGTAGATCTTCAGGCAGCTGCCTTTGACTTCAGGACTACAGGTCTAGCTGGTTATAATTGACATAACCATCTCCCAAACCTATCTGCATAGACAGACCAGTCTTCAGTCCTGCAAATGTTTAGAAGTTTAAGATCTGCTTCACCAGCCTTTCCAGTCTCTTTTTGGTGTAGCTGACTTGGGGTTTGAGGAAGACTCTGGAAGTATTGTAGAAAGAAACTCTCTGATTCTGCTAAAGTAAAAGTAAAGATAATTACTGAAAATTCAAACACAGTTTAAACTGGAGGAAAACACTTTGTGAAAGCAATTCACTGAGTGTGCCCCCAACCTATTCAGTTACAGGGGTTTATAAAAGCAAAAACCACAAGCATGAGGAGCTAGCGTAAACACTTCTGACTGCTTGACATTTGGGTTAGCTAAAATAAGGTTATGGAAAAGTGCAGTGTTGTAAGGAGGTCAGAAAAACATTTCTGAGGGGAGTTGAGAGGCATCTTCTGAGAATCGGATTAACCACTAAAATCACGTTTCCTAGAACATCTGTGCAAGCCATAAGATCTTTATTACAATATTGACCTAGGTAACAACCCCTGATCTACGTAGTAAACTTTCTGAGAACAGGAAAGAAGAAGTAACTTCTATCAAATAGTCAAATTGACAAAATGTAGTCAGGCCTACACTTGAGCCAGAAGCCTCAGCCAAGCCAAATGCCTTGAATTTTAGAATGCTCTTTATCAGAAAAAAACTCGTTGCCAGTCGAGTCGATTCCGACTCATAGCGACCCTATAGGACAGAATAGAACTGCCCCATAGGGTTTCCAAGGAGCGGCCGGTGGATTCAAACTGCCGACCTCTTGGTTACCAGCCAACCTCACCGTTGTGGCAACTTAGAGGGGCCTTTGGAGAGCTGGGGAAGAATTTACAAATAAATGGATCTGTGGGACCACGAGGTGGCGCCAGAATACGCGCCTCGGGAGAGCAGCACAAGGAAGCGGCTCGCTGGCCAAAGGACTACACTTCCCAGGAGGCGTTGCGCGGACGACCGGGGAGGGGCGAGCCGAAGGGCGGAACCTGCAGACTGAACCGCGTTGGGTTTTCGCCGCTCGGATGGTGGGGCAGGTGAAGGACCGGGAGGCCTTCCAGAGGCTCAATTTCCTGTACCAGGTGAGCCCGGGTCGGGGGCGCAGCGGGAAGGTGGGCCTGGTGCGGCCGGCCCGGAGTGACTGTTCTCCTCCTCAGGCCGCCCACTGCATCCTCGCTCAGGACCCTGAGAACCAGGCGCTGGCGAGGTTTTACTGCCACACGGAGAGGACCATTGCGAAGCGACTCGTCCTGCGGCGGTGAGCGGGCGCGGAGCTTGGCGGCGGGCGGGACTGGGGAAAACCGGGGAGCGAGCGCAGGCACCCGACCACCTTCCGCATCTGCCCCCAGGGACCCTTCGGTGAAGAGGACCCTCTGTCGTGGCTGTTCTTCCCTTCTTGTCCCAGGCCTGACGTGCACCCAGCGCCAGAGACGTGAGTGCCCCTGCCGAGAGGGGACAGTTGCGGAGCGGGGTGGGGGGTTGGGGGCAAGCGACCCATTCCTCGCTTTAGGCGTCAGGCGTAGGGTTTGTAGGAGCCGGCCTTCTCCAGCTCCACATTCAGTTTCAGATCCCACCTGAACAAACTAAATTTTGGGCTTGACTTTTATCCCCAACCTGGGCAGTAGAGAAGTAATAATAGATGCATAATAATAGATGTTATTCGGCGTCATGGAGGACATGATTCCCATCACCATTCATTCAGTAAATGGTAGTTTTCTGAGATGTGTCAAGCATTGTGCTAGATTCATTAATTTCATTAAACCTGCAGTGTGTTGGGAAAGACTAATAGAAACAATTACAATAGAGTAGAAAAATAATTAAAGTGGAGCGGAGTTCTTGCCCGGTTAGGGTCTGTGCCCTGGAGCAGCTGAGCAATGAAACATACTCTGCCAATGAAACATACCCTAAGTCAGAAAGAGTGACAAAGTTTATTTAGAAGTGTCTACCATCAAGGATCTGACAGCAATACAAGCTGTCTCTATGGAGTCCCAAAAGGCATTTTTACATTAGTGCTTATACATGATTTTTACAAAGGTCAGAAGTGTCTTTATAGCCCTCAGATGGTATGGCCGGATGAGTTATTAATTACAAGGTAATTACAAGAGACTCTTTATCAGACTAACGAGATACATGCCGGGCACCTCTTTATCAGACTAAAGATACATATGTCAGACTTCTGGGCTCTAATCTTCCTGTCGGGGGTTGTAAGCCACAGGTGGCCAGAGTAAAAGTCTTTAACAAAGGTATGTGGAAAGGAGAAGGCAGGCAAAAAAAAAAGGAAAAAGAACTTATAAGTTCATCACAGCGTTAGTTATGTCAAGCTCTCAGTTGCCCATTTTGAAAAGGAGAAAACATGCTGGCGAATATTAGGGTCACAGAGTGCTGAGTTACTTACGCCAGTGGTGGTGAGGTTCTTGATAAGCAAAGGTAGTGGGAGGTAGACATTCTAGGCATGTGTGAGGACTCCAGACACGGGAGCTTGTGTTGCTGCATGGAAATGAGAGTTCAGGAGCCTGAAGTTTGAGAGAGGCAGAGACAAGACATGAAGCTGGAGAGGGAAACTGAGGCCAGATCTTGAAGAATCTTGTTAAGGAGTTTGAACTTTATCTTTAAAGGTACAAAGAAATTGATGGGGTTTAGGCACGGGCCTGACACCATCAAATTTGCATTTAAAGGAGGGAAAAGAGAAAAAGAATTCGTTACTGAAAAGCAGGGGAGGCAAAACTGAGTGCTGGAAATCTTTTCTGCTAAACCTGGGTACCCTCTTCTTTTTTTCCCACATCCAACCCAGGATGCAAGGGACAGCGCTGGACAGTACAGACCTGCCTAACATGCCAGCGCAGCCAACGATTCCTCAATGATCCCAGGCATCTGCTCTGGGGAGACCGGCCTGAAGCCCAGCTGGTGAGCCAGGCAGGTGAGAGGTGGTAGGAAAAAATGGGTGCTCTCCCAGGAGATAGGGACACATAGGTGGTTTCTGGGTTGGTGGGAGAGACACTACAGTCAACTCTAATTCTGCTCCGCTACCCAGATCCCAAACCACCACAGCCCCTGCCAAGCACAGCTCACCCCATTCCAGAGGAGAAAGTGCAGCCTCAGAGCCCCAGTCACCAGTGATGGATTCATCCTATCTGCCAAAGAAATAAAGTTTCATTCTGTTTTGCCTTGTGTAATTCTGTTCTGTGGGGATTTCAGCTCTTCATTTCATTTTCCTGTTTCTGTCCATATTTCTCTGTCACTGACTAATTTCTCTCTTGTCTTTACCATCCTTGTACTCCCACCATGTGGGGATGTCCTGACCCCCATCAGCCACTGGGCCCCACTAAGCAGCCCCTATTTCTAGGACCCCGACTCCAGTGCTTCCTCAGTGCAGTGCCGTGTTTGGACCTCAGCTTCCAGAGCTGTCTGCAAGGTCTCAAGCCTTCTTAGGACATTCAATCTTTAGATAGTCTTATTGACTGAAGGGCTGGACAGACTGCTGACACCACTGCTCTGTTTTTAAGTGAGGGTAAAAATATGGGGACAGTTCAGATCCTCCAGGCCCACTTTTCCCAATCTCAGAGTTTTCTTCTTTTAAATTCTAATGAGGGAAATGGTGCAAACCTGAACTAACAAAGTCAGAGGTGCTCACAGAAGGACACTAGCAGATATGGCACAAGTCTGCTCCATAGGTAAACTCTCAAGGTTGCCTGGAGAATCCTTCAACAACTAAAATTGTTTTCTTTGATGTTCCTCAGAAGCCTACTCAAGGACAGAATTTCCAGACTGACCATTTTCCTAGCTTCTAGCTAATCAGTTTACCCCAAACATGTACTATATTCACTATTCCCAGAGTGCAGTTTTCTTTCTTCCCTTTCTCTTATAAAACCTGTGTTGCAGTAAGCTATTGCTGCATAAAAGTCGCTTCATAATGCTGCTTAAAACAACGGTTTATTATTTCTTCTGATTCTTTGGGTTAGGAATTCTGACAGAGCTGGGCTGGGTGGTTCTGCTCATGTGGTATCAGCTGGGTCCCTACTCAGCTGCATTTAGCTACTAGCTGGTCTGGAAGGCCCAAGAAGGCTTCACTCACATGCCTGGCACCTCATTGTTTCTCCATTGGCCTTGTCATGTAGCTAGCTTTGACATCCTCACAGCATGATGGTGTCAGGGTGGTTGGACTTCTTACATGGCTCTTCCACAGATAGCATTCCAAGAGAACAAGCTCTAATGTGTAAATGCTTATCAAGCCTCTGCATCACACTTTCTAATGTCCTCTTGGCCAAAGCAAGTCACATGGTCAAGCTGCACAAACGTTCATTGGTTCTCTGGGGACCACTGATGTAAACCTACCAAATCTTGTTTTTGTCTTTGTCCCTGATTGGTCTAGCCCCTGAACCCTTCACAGGTGAGTAAATTATTTGCATGAAAGATAACTAGTGTACAAGTAACTAAACGAGTTACTCTTTTGACAGCTTATGTTTGGAGACAGTGCTACCTGGGTCAGCTGTGGGAACCAACAGAAATAAATGTGCAGCTTTAAAGTACACGTCATGTGAACCTGGACCCTTTGTGTACTCCACTCACCTTCCTTGGCTTCTCTACTAAGTCTCATTTCTGGTGATTGAGCTTTTTCACACTTGGATGCTAAATCTGAATCTTGGTCAAGTTTGTTTTGAGTGTGATTATACTTGCACATAACTGAACATGTCCACAGTGGGCAGCAGTACTGAAACTGAGTTTTGATTTCATAGCTCCATCATTAAGGAATTCCTCTTGTGTGGGATACCATGGGGATCAGGTCCCTTTGGAAGGCAGATGAAACAGAATCTGGACTATGGTTCACTTGTGAGTCTCTGTGGCTTGTTTCATCCGTTTTATGTTTCCATAAATACAGGTTCATCTAAATCTAAAGATCATAGCCCTCTTCCTTTTTCTGAAACTCTAGCCTTTTCATGTTTACTTATTATGACATGATAGTTGTCAGTATATGCAAAAATGGATTTCTTGTATCAAAGAAGGGGAAAAAAAAACCCAAATCCCTAGTATACAATAGTCAATTTTCTCTGATTTTTCTTAACAATTCAGTAATTCAAAATCAGTGCTCTTTCAGCACCCTTTAAATAAAGTTAAACAAATGTGAGAGAAGAAACTTAGGTCATTTGAATTGAATCAAGAAAAGAAGATCTTCCAGTATCCACAGAAACCAAGACTTAATCATTCTCCAAATCTTAAGTCAAAACTGGTAAGTATCAGTATCATTGTCAGGAGGGAAGAGAGAGATACTGATTAATTGGTTGAGAGACTGTCCTGAATTCAAAAGAGAATTAGAAAGATTCCCAACAAAGGAAATAGTAAATGATTCTGGTTTTCTCTGCCTCACATGTTTGTAAGTATCAAATGAGATAATGTATGAGAAGGCATCTTGAAAATTAGGTATTATAGATTATGTTAATGGAGTGTGTAATGATCATAATAATACTGAGTAATAATAAGTAGCAAAATAGAAAAGACAGAGCCTGGACATCAAGGAATCTGAGTTACTGTCCCTACAATAGGCATTTGTAAAATTAGGAAATTTAACTGTTCTTTTCCTGTAGTTTCTTCCCACTCTGGAGATGTAACAAAGTTATGATATTTTCATAAATTCATTCAAAAATATTTTCTGAGCACCTACTCTGTGGCAGGGCATTGCTCAGGCTCTTGGGATATACGTCAGTGAACAAAAGAATTGGTGGGAAGACAAGCAAAAAACAATGCATGATATATACAGGGGTATGTACTATGGAAAAATCAGGAGAGTGAGGAAGACTTGGGTACAGGTTAGTGTTTTAAATAGAGCAGTTGAGGTAAGCAGCACTGAGAAAGTGACCACAGCAGACTGTAGGTGCCTCTTCCTTATCCCCTCACACCATCCCAAAGGTGACTTTATGCAGATACTTCCCATACATGACAACAGCTTCTGTCTTTCTGTCCCAGAGTATTATCTGGCAGCAGGAGCTGTGCTGGATAGGCCAAAAGTGCCAGAGAGGAATGCTTCTGGGAGCAACCCCAAACAATGATTGGTGAATATTGCACAATATTCCACAGTCTATCATGGTCTCCAAAAGGGTTCAGCCCTGGTGGCACATAGTATATAGACACACACTTTGTAGACTTCCCGCCCCTGGTTCACTCCCCACTCCCTCACAATTCCTAGGATCACCTTCCAGATCAAGTACCTGCACCCAAGTCCGTGTCTCTGGGTTCGCTTTGGGGGAACCCAAACTAAGAGTGACATTCTGAAAAAACAAGGAAGTAGATAAGGGAGCTAGCCATGCAGGTATCTGGGGAGAACCTTCTAGGCAGAGGGAACAGTTAAGGCAAAGACCCTGAGGTAGGAGCCTGACCAGTGTGTTGAAGGATCAGAAGGGAGGCCAGTGTGAGTGGCACAGAGTGAGCAAGATGGAGAGTGGTAAATGTGGCCAAAGAGATCATAGGAGGCCAGGAGTCTTTAGACGATCACGAGGAATTTGATTTATTCAGGGGGAAGGCCATTGGAAGTTTTTAGCATGCAGTGACACGATGTGATGTAACATTTCAAAAGGATCACTGACTTTTTTAAAGAATAGACTAGGAGAGCAAGATTGGAAGAAGGGAAACCAGTTAGGAGGCTATTCTAATCACCCAGGTGAGATGATAGTGGCTTGGACTAGGGTGTTAACAGTGAAGATGGAGAGGTTTTCAGTTTTTTTATATAGTTTGAAGGGATAGCCCAGAGATTTCCTGATGAACTAGCAGTGGGATTTGAGGAAAAAGTGAGGATACAGAGTTCCACAGAACTAAAGTTTAAGCGGTCTTGGTATACTCAACCCAAACCCACTGCCATTGAATCGATTCCAATTCATAGCAACCCCACAGGATTTCCAAAGCTGTAAATATCTATGGAAGCTGACTGCAACATCTTTCTCCCTTGGAGCTGCTGGTGGTTTTGAACCTCTGACCTCTCGGTTAGCAATCGATTGCTTTAACCACTGCACCACCAGGGCTCCTTGAGTGTGTATTTTGAACAAAAATATTTTATGACTTCCTATTTGACCAGAATATTGAGAGAATCCAGTGCATCTACAGTCTGTTGTGGGGATTGGGAGTGGAAGCTGGGTTTTGAATTCAATCCAGTCACCCCCAGGGCTTGCAGAAATTATATGCTAGTGGCCGTTAAATTGTTTCCAATTCGTGGCGGCCCCACGTGGGTCAGAGTAGAACTGTGCTCTGTAGTGTTTTCAATGACCAATTTTTTGGGAGATCTCTAGGCATTTCTTCTGAGGCACCTCTGGGTGGAACCAAACTGCTAACATTTTGGTTAGCAGTTGAGTGTGTTAACCGTTTGCACCATCCAAAGACTTCTGCAGAAATTATACTGTAAGATTATTTAGAATGGAGGGACATCCCAAAACTTTTATAAGGCCCTAAGAACTTTTTTTTCTGTAATAAAACCAACCAAACCAAACCCGTTGCCATTGAGTCGATTTCAACTCATAGCGACCCTATAGGTCATAGTAGAACTGCCCCATAGAGTTTCCAAGGAGCACCTGGTGGATTTGAACTGCCGACCTTTTGGTTAGCAGCCATAGCACTTAACTACTATGCCACCAGGGTTTCCTTCTCTGTAATGATAATGGTATAAGTGTTCTTAGCATATATCCTTTCATTATAAAGATAAATTGAAGATTCAGAGAGGTTATATGATATACCCAAGTTCATTACAAAACCAGAACTTGAACCCAAGCTTTCTCTAAGGGATGTTCTTTCTGAGTTCACGTTGGCTCAAAAGAATGTGAGACATTCTGTCTTAGGCTGAGTTCTCTAGAGAAGCAAAACCAGTAAAGTATATAAATATATGTAGAGAGATTTACATCAAGGAAATGGCTCAAGCAGTTGTAGAGGCTGAAATGTCTCAAGTCCATGGATCAGGATAGAGGTTTCTCCTGATTCACGTAGCTACAGTTGCTGGTGAACCCAAGATCAGCAGGTCAGAGAGCAGCGCTCTTGCTCACAGACTGAAGATCGATGAATCCCAGGCTCGGCAGACAAGACTGCAGCTAGCTTGAGTCCCAAGAACTAGAGGTCCGATGAACAGGAGCCAGATGTAGGATCCAGAATGAGGAAAATCCCCTGAGCCTTGCCAGAACATCCCCTTGTATTTGGATGCAGACTGCATGCCTCAGGAAACTCCATTTCAACTGATTGGCTACTCACA